ACCAACTTAGTCGGACAATCAGGCGGTGAAGGGTAGTCCAGCTGCTCCTTATAAGAGCTGCACCAGATGAGAAACAGGTGGATCACCTGTCGGGTTGGCACGCCCTCCAATTGGAGATCTGATTGGAAACCTGTAGTCTCAGCCACACACAGACACCATGACAATCTATGCCTGTCTGTCTGTCTGATTCCTTTTATTTTTGCATCACACATTAGTTTGAGGATTAACGAGAGAAAAGGTATTTGGGAGTTGAGCCCTTAGAGACGTCAGAACACAAAATTAGTGAGATACATTTTCCATTTGAAGAGAAATTTTATGGCAAGCTCTGCTTTCTAAGTAAGAGGCAGAGACAAATTCTAACATACTTTAATTGGACTTTTATTAATTGACTTTATTGATCTCACAGTATATATACAGTATATACAGTGCATCCACATATAACAGCTTTTTTTTTATAGTTAAGATAATTTTTTTACATGGGTATTTATATAGATGGATATTGATATATATAGTTATAGCACTGGGTGTCAGATGTACAGAAACAGGTCATTGCAGGGTATCAAATAGTAAATTGCACATTATACATTGCACAAGCTATTGCCATTGTAGTGTCACATTATAGAGTCCGGTTGCGGCAGAGATGAATGACCTACGGTAACGCCCCTTTTTTATGTAATAAACCAACACAGTATCATTGCTCCTTGAACTTTTATGCATTTTTCTTCTTTTTTGCTTTACAAACAGACTAGCAGTTTTGGTGTACATGTGGGTTTTACCACTTTTAGGGCATTTTTAGGTATATTCCAATAAAGCTGCCTTGAAATACAATGCTTGTGAAAGTATTTACATTCACTGAACTTTTTATTTATTTATTTATTTTTATGATTCTTTCACTTTTAGTGTCTAATTATTTAAATGGGATTTTATGTTAGACAACTCAAGGAAGTCTAGCATGTGTTAAAATATAAATAAACTGGATTTTTCTCTGCATATAAAAAGTCACAAAAGATTTGTGTGTTTGTTTGTGTCCCCTTGAATATGAACTCCTGGAAAGCTGCTCAGTGGTCCAGTGGGTAGCATTGCTGCCTTGCAGCAAGAAGTAATTGGGTTCGATTTCTGGCCCAGGGTCTTTTTGCAAGGACTTTGCATGTTGAGTATGCATGGTTTCTCTCCGGGTACTCTGGCTGGATCCCACAGTCCAAAAACATGACTGTTAGGTTAATTGGCTTCCTTTAATTCTCCTTAGGTGTGAGTGTGTGTGTGAATGGTTGTTTGTCCTGTTTGTCTCTGTGTTGCCCTGCGATAGACTGGCGACCTGTCCAGGGTGTACCCCGCCTATTGACAGCTGGACATAGGCACCAGCACCCCTCATGACCCCACTTGTGATTAAGCGAGTTATATATATCATGAATCTTAAAGTTGACATTAAAGTGCTGTTTCCCAGCGCTACACTAAAACATTCATGTTTTGTAAGACTACGTCCACAAACTGTCCCTTGTATTAGGACCTGGACAGAAAAAACTAAATATGATTTAAAGTAGCTTATGTATTTTTTGACAATAATACAGAACTTGTAATAATAGCCACCCTATTTGTCATCATTATGACTTTGTGGAAGATACAATAAGATAGAACTGTCTCTTTCAAAATCATTATTAAAAACAGCTCACTTGTTTTTTAAATGTAAGCTTTTTTGTTGGTGTTTGCAAGTTATAATGAGAATAAAGAGCACAGATCTAGCTGCTATTCGGTGTAGATACATTTCTTATTGTTGTATAAATATAAATGTCATATTTGAGAGAACTGGGTATGGTTCTAACCTACATATTTCATGTTTTGTTCTCTTTAACTGTAGCTTTACGCTTGTTTTCAACGAATTTTCCAGAGATTTCTAGATTGTCAGAAAACTGGCGACATCAAGTGGAGCTCGACAGTCAAAACGGATTTAGGCCGTGTTCGAATAAGGAGAAGGCCAGATTCTTCGGCCGATTACATCATAGCGCGGCGCCGTGTTGTGTCCGAATTCAAAGACTACTTTGTTTGCAGCCTTCTTTTCATCCGTTTGGAAGGTCGGGTCCGGTGTATCCTTCGTGGCCTATGATATCCCATGATTCAATAAGAGTCCAAGCCAGCCGGCCGGCTGCTCTGTGCTTAGAGGAAAACGGGAAAAAGCGAAGTTCAGTGGTGAATGTTGTAAGTTTAGTTCAAAAAGGATGCAGCTGCTGAAATCGAACACAGCCTAATAAGATAAGATTTTTAGGCGGATATTACGTATGACACCGTAATGGCGGCTATGTCATTAATAAAACCTGGAGAAAATCTTATACTGGAATGGATTCAACATGAAGACTTTAACAGAAAACAATTATTGAAACAACGTTTATTTGATCACCAAACTGAAGTATAAACTGCTTTATATGACTAAATTTAATTTACTTATTACCCTAGTTTCACTAGATCCTTTAATAACAGCAGTGGGGTCGAGTGTGTTACATTTACACACTTGCAGTCAAGATAGTTCACCGTCATCTACGTCTATTGGGTTTCAGCGAAGAGACCTACTTCCGGTGCTCGAAGGCAAAACCGGGTGTACGGAAAGTGAATCGTCTCCCTTCCGCACATTCAGCTTTGACCCTTTAATTTTTCCTTCTTGTATACACTGTTTATCTTTAAGATAACACAGAATTAAAAACTATTGATTTTTTTTAAACGAATTTTTCTTTTATGTTAGTGTCGTTTAACCAGACGCGTATTTTGATAGATATTACCTCGTTTCCTACAAAGGGGAAGTTGCTTCTCCAAGAATCTCGGAGAGCTGACGTTAACAGCTGTGGACATACAGTTAGCTAAACTCGCTAGCGCATGTTTTCTTAATAAGTGATTTAGTAAAAGTGCAATGAACCGTTAAAGTTACGGTTTTTTGTTCCCCGTAATTTGAGTCGAACTATAAACGGTTCTATCTGTGTAGCTGTCAAGCTAAACCTAGCATAGTGTCCAAATCCTAAACGGTTATTATCTCGGCTGTGCTAGCCAAGTTTAGCTTGGTTCGCTTCAGGCAGACATATTTCATCATCTGCTGCCAAAATGATGGACTTTGACAATATACTGGACATCGCCTCGCAAAACCAGGGTGTCAGCTGTGTACAAGTAAGTATAAGAACACCGCTTTCATAAAAAAAAATAAAAAAAATGTCGGGAGGGGGGCACTTTCTATCTGAAAGTGTCAGTTTAATCAAAGTTCTGCCTCGTCCAACAAAATGACTAAGGCTTTTATATGGTTACAACTGATATATCTCTTTTATTTATGGTATTGTGAAATAGTCTAGGCAAAATGAGTACCTAAAATACCTAAACCGGGGGTCTTCAACAGGGGGTCCGCGACCCCTAGGGGGTCCGCGGAGGTACTGCATGAGGGTCGCGAAAGTTTTGGTTGATTAAACTTTTATTTAATATTCCCCACTTAAAATTTTCCCCACTAATTGAAATGTCTTTAAATACACATTAACATGAATTCAACAAACTGTAGTAAACAGATAAATGGAGGCAGAAGATGTCTTTCAGTCATCAAAGCACACATTCAGCGACACACAGGAGCTCTTTCAAGCTGGGCATGATTTCATTCACAACACCTGTCCCATCAACCAGGAATCAGAATCAGAAATACTTTAATAATCCCAGCGGTAAAATTACTTTCTTTACATTACTCCATCTTTAATAGAGTGACTATAGGACCAGTTTGATATAACACAATTTCATTCAGTATATATAATTAGGGGTCCCTGCTCCATCTTGCCACCAGTTTTGGAATCCTTGGTCTGGAAAATGTTTTACACTGATGTCTTGGGCTTTCTTTTTTGCAGAGGAGATACAGTCTTCAGACGGGACCACCCAAAAAGGACCCAAAGTCTAAAGGTGTAAACCCTGCTGCTGTGCAGGCACTTCTGAAAAAGCGTCAACATGATTCAAGACGGAAAGGTATCTATGGCACTTTGTTCCTTTGTGTTCTGTTTTGGTAAAACTCAAACTAATAATGCTCAGTTATTTGAAATGGAGATTGGAATCAGGTGATCAGACATTGCTGTGGATCTCCAGGTCCGAATCCAGTCTCTAGTTTTTAGTCTTTTACCTCTTCATCTTTCAGAGTTCGTATGTTGACGTAGTTTTGACTTTGATAAAAATCATGGCCTGTTTGAGAATCTATACAGAAATTAAATCAAATTCAAAGATTGATAGATTTTTTTTTTTTTATTTTTTACAATTTTCCCATGGTGACCATCTACAACTCGCAGTTGTCAACAATAATGTTAACGTTGATTTCAGTTGGTACCAGAAGTTCTTATTCTGTATCTTTAAACATTTTAATTCTGGGTGACAATTTATTTTGATAATTTTGTGGTCAAACAGTCACACATCTTCCTATCCAATAATTATTAGGAGTATTTTTGTTTTATGTATTTTTTGCTTTTAAGCACAAGCCAATCACTGCTCTTAGATTACAGCACCTCACATAGCAAAAAGGGTTTATTAAGATTTTTCTCAAATCTCAAAATGACATCTCTAGGAACTACTTGTAAATATTGGCCCAATACTTAAAAAATGGCAGTTCTTAAATAATTTTTTCCTTATTGGTGTATCTGTTTAAAATCTGTACAGTTACTGTTCATTTTACGAAGAGGTTTTGTGTTCTTTTTCAGAACTGGAAAATAAGAAACAAAAGGAGCAGCTATTGGCTAAGAGGGTTGAGTTGAAGTCGGATCGTAAAGCGCGAGCCATGGCGTCCAGAACGAAGGACAATTTCAAAGGCTACAATGGCGTTCCAGTGGTAGACATTCCTAAAAAGAGGGGCTCAAAAGGAGATAAGCAGCAAGATAATTTAAACAACTCTGGGGGGTTTAGGAATAACGCCATCAATCCATTAGACGATGAGGACAATTATGAGTATGAGCCTTCAGATTCAGAGGGAGAGCCTGAGCCAGAGATGCTAAGACCAGGGAAGGCTGTAGGCGTCGGTGGGGCCAGTGGTACCGGCAGACCGGTTTCAAAAAAACCTACTGGGCCGCCCAAACCTCCTCCTCCTGCCATGAACTTTGCCGAATTATTAAGATTGGCAGAGAAGAAGCAATTTGAGCCGGTTGAGCTAAAACCCAAAGTGAAAAAGGAAGAAAGGCTTCGCACAGCCGAAGAGATTCGTGAGCTGGAGATGGAGCGCAAGGCTAAAAGGCCTGACAAAAATAGAGACTCAAAGGTAGACATTGGAAGAGATTCCAGGTCCAGTTCAAGTTCAGTCAGAAAAAGCACTACAGAGAAAGAGCAGAAACATAATCGACCACAAAAGAACTCTATAGAGAAGCCAAGTCTGCCAAGTAGATCAGGAGGTAAAGCTCAGTCAGTGGTGACAAGTGACAGAGGATCGTCCTTTTCCAAGCCCTCTGTGAGTGATAAAGAGAGGATCAGAGAAAAGGTAGCACACAGTGACAGAGAACGGTCTAAGATGGGCATGTCCTCTACTTCAGCTGCTACAGTTGTTAAAAACCCTTCAAAAGCCCTCTCATCTCAAGTCTCAGCCAAACAAGTAGGTTCCAGGCCTCCGTTTACTCAAAAACCCAGTACTTCAAGTGACCTTAGCTCAAGGAAAGATGGTTTTCCCTCGCATCAAAAAGTGGCTTCTGGTTTTCCAGGGAATAGGCCTTCCAATGCAGTTGCAGCTGGCCAAAAGTCTCTACAAAGAAGCTCACAGCAGACAAGACCAATTCAAGGCAGTGTATTAAAGCAGGGCGCTACAGCTGGAGGGATGAAGTCTAGCAAAGGAGATCCACAAAGGCCTGGAAATAATAATAATAATGTTATGCGGTCAAACGGCAGCTCAATGATGAGATCATCGTCAGGTGGTCCTTCTAAGATGGGGAACCAGAGCCAGGTGAGGCCTCCTGGAATGCCCCAAAATAAATCTGGTGGTGGGCCACAGGTCAGGACAGGTGGCAGTGGTCCTGGAAGAGGTGGACCCCGACCTCCAGGATCTGGACCCCTTAGACCTGGTAGTGGAGGACAGGTGCCAGGGCGGCCAAACGGTAACCTTGGATTGGGGCCTGGTAGACCTAAGTGCACTGTTGTGTCAGAGACCATCTCATCCAAGAATGTGGGTGGACCTAGGCCAGGGGCCCCCCCTCGACCAGGCATGCCTCAAAGACCTGGGCTGGTTCCAGGAATGAGAGCAGGAATGCCCCCCAGACCTATGATGAACAGACCACCAGGGATGAACAGACCACCAGGTGAGAACTGGAAAGGGATTGATGTTGCTAGTTAAGAGCTAGATTTTTACAGTGTTATAGCATTTTTAAAGGGTTTCATCAGGATTAAAAAAAACACTCTTAGCAAGTATGTTAGAGAAAAAAGAACCAAAGTTTATTTACTTGTTCAGTTTTGTTCTTGCTCAGGCCCATTTTCATTCAGAAGTTCATCAAAATCTGCTTTTTAGGTGTCTATAGTACATACTTATTTTTATAATTAATATTTTCTGAATTGTTTTGTGAGAGTAACAGAATTTTCCAGGCTGCCCCGAGTTTGGAAAATAATAAACCAACAAAAAATATTTTTTGGATTGGAAAATTGGAGCCTATCTTTAAATCAAAATCAATCCTCAAAGTCCTCTAGCACTAGACTTGCCACCAAAAATGTTTTCCATTTCCTCTCCAGGAACCACATTACCACCGATCACAATCGCATACAAAAGGAAGTATGAGGATGAGGAGGAAGACTATGACCCTGAAATGGACGATTTCATTGATGATGGAGGTGAAGAGCAAGATGAAATCTCCAGGCACATTAAGGAGATATTTGGTTATGATCGAACAAGGTGAGTGTTGTGTTCATAAGTTGTAGTCTTGTCCCGTAGGTTCCACATGGTGTTCACATTACATGTTAATTAGCCACTCTGCCAATAGAACCAGTTATTAATAGCCCCGTTAACACTAACCTCTGACCACCAATCCGTGCCGAGTTCGGACATAGCTTGGATCAGTTAACTGTGCCAAGCTTGGTTCTTTACGACAGTTTACACATCATGCTAGCACAGTTCTTTGCCTCCTAGTGACGATCCACGGTACTACTGCTCACAAGCAAATCAACAGGGCGGCGCCCGTAGCATTCAGGAAGTTATGCTTTGTTATCATTGTGAGATTTTGTTGTTAGCGGAGAGTCGGGCGAAGAAGGCAACCTTTGGTGAATTTTTGTGGTTTTGGGAAGTGGATACAACAACAATAGTCTAATCGGGGCTTACAGACGCTTTTCAAAATCATCTCTGAAATCATGTGGCACGTGGAAGCTAGTATTTTCATGAATGTCTGAAATTTCCTGATTACGGAGGCTGACTGTAAGGGTATGGCGTGGTCTGCTCATGCGCGCTTTGTTACCTAAGAACTGAGCCAGAACTGAACGGCACCGAGCCCTACTGATGGACTAGTACCGTGTTAGACTTGGACAGATCTGTCTAAATATGTCTGGTGGTTCGGTTGTGTCTGGTTCAGTTTTGCGTGCCATTTACACTCCAGTTATCTCGGTTAGTGGGTTGGACCGCTCTCGGCACGGTTTCAAAAGGGTAGTGTAAATGGGCTGATTTCTCTACCTAACTGGCCAGTAAACATACGTGATCTACGTTCCATAGAGAATCTGTGGAATACTAGTGATACCCCAAAATGGTGCGTGGAATGGCTGTTTTTAAAGCTGCCTTCAACACCACACCTTCTGTTGCCTCTCCCTACCGGCTTCAGTTGTGAAAACAGTTGTGCTGGATGTTGCTCTCCTTTTGTTCTGTGGCCAGCCAGAGGGAGGGGGCCCCATTGTTTTTCAGACTGATGAATGTTTCCTGACCGAGTGGCTTCTAAAGAGAATAACATGTAACACTAGACCCCAAAGGTACAGACAAGCTGAAGGCTGTTTATAAAGGAACCTCACTGGAAAAAATATCTAGAAACAAGTAAAAACTTCCTTAAAAAAGTGTATTTACCCTTAATTTGAGTAGGTAAATGAGATAGTTTGCCAATGGAATGAGTATTTTTACCCTTAAAAAAAGATAATTATATAACATACACTTGAAATAAGACAATGCAATTGTGTTTTCTTATTTTAAGTGTAAATTGTCTTGTTCCATTGGCAAAGTGTCTACCTTAGCTCCTCAATCCAAGAATAAATGCACTTATTTTAAGAAAAAAATACTTATCTAGATTTCGATTTTTTTTCCAGTGCTGGGCTTCCTTAAAACCTCAACATCATCACGTTTTAACTTAAAAAAACAGAAAAAAAATCCTAAAACTGTAGCGATTGAAATGTACCTCCATGTTGGCCGCTAACTGAATTATTGAACAGATTCATTTATAGAATTGATACTCTTTATAATCAGAGATGTAGTGGTCCTTAAGCAGAGTTTGCATTATAGGTTTCTTTCAAAATAGAATTATTCATCAACATCATTCATCAATTTTCATCAATTTGTTTAGATTATGCTTTATGAAAAGAACAGTAATTTATAAGACTCTAACCTTTCTTCCCTTTTAATCCTCAGATACAAAGATGAAAGTGATTATGCTCTTAAATTTATGGAGAGCAGCTGGAAAGACTTGCAGAAAGAAGAGGCCCGGAGGTATTAAACATACATTCAATCATACTATTGGTTCATTTAATCTACTGATAATAATTATATACTTTAACTGTATATATTTTTGCTCTCTCAATTATTTCTGCTTTAGCTTAAGAATGGCTGTGCAGGAAGACCTGGAGGAGGAGAGGCGGGAGGAAGAGGAGCTCAAAAGAAAGGCCAAGAGGAAAAAGATTGCCTAAGCTCCATTCCTGTTTTGTTAAATTAAACCTTCCATCATCCTTTAAATGATGGTATAGTGGCTTTATGATGTTAAATCATAAAGCCCCTTGTCCAATCTTTCCTGTGTTGCATTAGAGACTACAGTACGTTTTGATAAAACATTTCTAGTGAAAGATGAGCTAATAAAAGACGATATGCACAACTCATTGAAAGCAGTAGAAATTTAAGTTCTCATGTCCTTATTTATTTCCCCTACAGACTCCTGGATTTACATTCTGAAAAGAAATGAACTGTAACAAACATGAATGAGTTTTTTTTTTTATGTAACAATAACCAACAGTTGCTAATTTCTTTCAGTATATTTTCCTGTTACTTTTTCAAGCAGTTAAACACATTGACAGTTGTGCAGAAAAAGTTACAATTTCATATGTTGTGTAAAGTAATTTGACATGTATGATTACATAAAGGATTTTATTTAACTGCAGTGTATCTTGTCATTTTTTTTTCTTGGATTATGAATACTTAAGCATATGTTCATAAGCTGAAATTACAACCTTCCCAGTTTATTAAAGGTCATGTGCTCTTCATTCAAAAAGTTGCATGCAACTTTCTTTTCTGATTATCACTGCAGACGTATGGAGACAAATTCTTACATATCAGGAAATGCTTTTCAGCCATCCTTAATAAACTTGGCCATAACTCTACAAGTCAATTTAAGAAAGTAACAGGATGTGGTTATTGATTGATTGACTTTATTGATCTCACAGTGGAGGAATTTACTCATTACATCGGCTTAAATAGTCAAAAGAGAAGAAGAAAAGGAAGAAAAAGGACAGTCCATCAACATATGACAGTATTTGCTTTTTTTTTTTTTTTGTAGCAGGATTATTACAGAGGGTTATTGCACAGGCTGCTTGGATTTGTATTTGTAGAGATGGATATTTATATATATATTTATATATATATATATATATATATATATATAGTTATTGCACAGGGTATTGAATAGTAATTGCACATTATACATTGCACAAGTTATTGCTGTTGTGTTGCATTGTAGAATCTGGTGGCAGCAGGGATGAATGACCTGCAGTAGCGCATCTTTTTACAAACTGTAAAAGCTACAGTCGTGGTTGAAATCTTGCAAAACAAAGTAAAATCTCATTCGCAGTTTTTATGCTTTTGAAGTCCTGGGTTATCCTGGAAGATATGTTGATATTTACAACAGTAGTAGTAGTTTTAAAGACTACTTGTGTGTGTCTGAAGCTAAAATGTTAGTATAGATAGAAGACATATAGTGATAATTCAAGTCTAAATGATGTCTAGAGCTGACTATTTGCCATTAAAATCCTGTCAAATGGAAGCTCTATTATTTTTGCACTGTGTCCCGAGCCCGTAACTTTATCAGTGACCCCTCACACCCCCACAATGGACGGGGATGAGGCTTTGGATGCAAGTCCAGCAGATTCCGAAACAGCTTCTTCCCCACCGCTATCGAACAGGTGAATGTTGAAAAAAAAACTGTAAATCATGTCATGGTCTCTGCATCAAACTGACCAAATCAACATGTATTTTTGCACCATGTTTTTTTTTTCTGCCAATGTTTACATTTGATCGCTGCTACATTTTAAGAAATGAAAAATGTAATGAGAGCAGTACAAACACAATTTTGTATACACATAGCAGTACAAAATGAAAATTCGTTTTTTACTGCTATGTGTATACAAAATTGTACAAAATGTAGGACCAATCCTGCCATAATTAAAAATAAATACAAATGTTGTCTGTATTATTCTTTCTTTGTATATTTTTTACTCTATTTGTTCCATGCTATTTATTTCTGCCCGTTGTTTTTACATTCCTGTATGAATTTCTGCCTCATTATGCAAATGAGGACAAAAATAATTTATATTTCTTCAATAGCTTCCAGGTCATGTGACCTACTGACTCAAATTCTTCGTGAAATTGTTATACTACATTAACATGATGAGGCACACTTGTTTTGACAAATGTGGACCTTAGAAAAATGTCTAAGAATAACATAATAGTGTACTGTATTGTAAAGTGTTTTAACAATATCAAACTGTGCACCTGGAGAATAAATAACCAGTATGCAGCTATGGACATTTTTACAGTAATGGATATGTGAAAATAGCAGCAACATCAGAGATGTGCAAAATGACAGCAGCATGTTATTTAACTGACTAAGGTTTCTATCATTACATTTGATTTTAGTTGTTCCTGCTCCCGGTGGTTGGAACCTTTATTCCACTCAATAAAAAAGAAAGAAATAAACAAACAGTTCTGAAAACTTCGGTATTCGTTCTTTTCCCGCTTTGTTTGTTAATGGTCACGGTAGCAACATACAGTAGCCTTTGGCGGTAAAACCCGCCGAAGGATAGACCTGTTTGAATTCAAAGCCAAAACTCTTCCGATCTCCTTATTTTCACAGACTTCGAAGGATCCAGTCTAGGTAGACCCTGTCCTTGGAGGATGTAGCCCATGAATTCAAACAGAGCCCAAATCTATGTAAGGCATAGATTTGAAGTGCTTTTTAATTAAGGTACGATTGGTCCTTTATATAAGTCTAAGTCATCAAATAGGAAAATTGAGGCCTCTTCAAATATCCTATTCCACGGAAGAGGATTAGTTAACTGATTTTTAAATTTAATTTCAGTTTAACATGGGAAAAAAGTCAGAATTCTGACTTTTTTCTTAGAATTCTGAGAGATTAATCTCAGAATTCTGACTTTAATCTCAGAATTCTGACTTTAATCTCAGAATTCTGACTTTAATCTCAGAATTCTGACATTAATCTCAGAATTCTGACTTTTTTTCTCAGAATTCTGACTTTAATCCCAGAATTTTGGATCTTAATGCTATTCTGGTTTTTAGCTCACTGTTTATTATTTTAACCACTACTAAGTTTTTCTGGTTAGTTTTTTTCTTGTTAAGAGTTTTAACAGTGAGAAAAATCGTATGGGGACTGTTTATGGCGTTATTTATGTACATTTTACAATAACTTGCCTATTTTATTGTAGGTTTTCTTTTTCTTAAATAGGGAGGGGCTTGAGTCGGTAGTGACGTTAGGATCTCCTAGTTACGCCCTTGGCTACTCCTCGAAGTTTGCGGAAGTTTATTAAAGGAGCTGAAATTGAACAACTGGCAGGGGAATCAAATCCAGAGTAGAACTAGTATCTTTTTTTAAAGTTTTTGTTATTATTTTAGTAAGGTAGATGGACCTCAAGCCAGAGAAAATACAGCGGGTCCTTTCTAAGGTAGGTTTATGAAAATGACAAACTTTAAACACGTTTGTTAGTCTGCGGTTTAATCGCTAAAAGCCGGCTAGATTTGCAGGCTAGTTTCTGTTAGCTGCTGCCAGCCTGAGCAAACTGGGAGAACCAGCTTAGTTAGTTACAATCATGAAAGAAAATATAGAAGTTAAAGGAAAATGATATGTGTGATTGATAGTCAAATAATAAAACTATTGAACTGAGAGATTTGTCACCTTAACTGTGCCCACAGCTCCTGAAAAAAATATAAAAATAAACTAGATTTTGCTTATTTTTTCCTCCCTTTCTCTTTAATCATACAAATAAAGGTCATCAGATCAAACTAATCAGGATATTTCAAATACATTAGTAAAATCTTTGGTACAGATGTATAAATTATGAGTGAAACTTGATTTTTACAAATATATGAATTTACTGTATTTATTTATTATCTGGAAAACAGTTCTCACACAAATGACACAAATGAGCCATTAGTCAACAGAGATTTGTAAAAAAATCTTTAAAATCCTGCCATATATTCTGTTTCCTGTTTACAGAGCTGTTATGGTTCAGTTCAGTCAAATCACACAATGAAAAAGTTCTCTATACTGGATATGTTTTAACTTCAGAGGTGATATTTTTAGTACTTACTGACAAAGTATTCCAAAAAAACAAACAAACAAATAAAATCACTAGAACAAAGAAATCTCCAATATGTAGATTTGGATGTGGAGGCCAGCTGGGATATGGCTGCTTCTGAAAACACAAAGGGATTTATGAGATAAAAGTGAATGCAGCTCAGGAAGATCATTCATGAGCAAATGAAGTTTTTAGCTGAGAATTATGTCATGGTTTACGCCCCGAGGCTGTGAACAAAGCTCTCACCTTTTCATATTCATCATAAATGTTTTACGTCATGAACTTTTAATGACCTTCCTTTCTTCTGGCAGATAGTTAAACTAAAGCCAAACTGTGGAAAAGCCCAATAAAAATATATGACAAGGTTTTGATGGATTGCTCATGCCATTCTGGAAAAGGCATCTTAATGTGATTTTTGTTTTTACAAAAAATTATTCTAACTAATGATGATTTCATATATAAAAGGTAAAAAGAATCTGTAAGAATCCTGCTTGGCTTTATTTTTCAATCCAGAATTAAACTTGAAATTGAAGGTACTATAGTTTTATCACCCATTCAAAATGAAATGGTGTGAAATAGGGCTGAAACAATAAATCAAATGAATCATGATTTATCAATTATTGAAATAATCGTTAACTGGAGTGTAGAGACAGTAAAACATGCCTTTAGCTGACAGAGCAGCAATTACGGTGTATCAAAATTGTAAAAAAAAAAAATAAATAAATAATAAACATTGTGCATTAAAGATTAAAAAATGTTTTTGTCTGTCAATATGCTCTAACAGAACTCCTCAAGTGGAAACGTTTTAGTTTCACCTGGTTTAATTTCTTTTAAAAAATCTTCTTTAACGAACCTTTTGCTATCTGATTATTAATTAATTAATCTAAAAAATAATCTATTTGCAAAATAATAATTATATTCAGCCCTAGTGTGAAATGAGTTGATTTGAAAATACTAGAAAAAACCATGTGTTCATTACCAGCTTTTAAAATCCCACTGCATCAGCTGTGTTACAACACATGACATATAACACCCAGTCATAATTTATTTAGATCAGGTGAGAAAACTAAACAAGGTGATGGAGGGCCATGTCTGTGGGAGTGTTTTCTCTGTAACAGAGTTATAACTCTGGTCACAACAAAAAATGTAGGAAGTTAAGAAGAGACTGTCTGAAAACTATGAAGTTGGTTGAACTATAAAAAACAATCCAATGTTGGAAAAAATGCTCTTGAAAGACAAAAAAAGCTCATTGCTTTTAAATCATATGCATGTTTTCTTTGGTGATTTATCTTTCCTTACCATAGTACAAGTTTCGCGATGTCGCCATTGAGGAGCTACAAAAAATCCATCGAATCTTCCCAGATTTGGATCCACATCCAGGGACTTACAGTAAGTTTCTGTGCTACATTCCTCCTTTAAAGACTTTCACATTTATTTGAAAAAATACATTCCAGGAAAAAAAGAAAACAACTATTTTCTCCCTTACCTTATTTATTTTGTTTGTTATAGATGCTACTGCTCATTAACCTGTAATTAGCATCAGTCAAAGATAGCCTGAGTAAATGTGAACAGGGGTGATTACACAGGCAAATTTTCTTTTAGTGTTGGAATGGTTAGATGTGTTTAAACCTATTAACTGGTTGGGCCATCTGAATAGTGAGATCAAGAATCACCATCTTTTATAGCAAACTCTTCTTTCAGAATTGTTTAAATTCAGCAACATAGGAGGTTTCCATAGCATCTAAGCCTGATTTTTGTCTAAGTGATTTAGTCAGAGTCTAGATGACAGCAATTCGGTTGTGACTCACTACTGTTTAACATTATAGTCTTTTAACCAGATGGGTTTTCGACTGGTTCAGAGCAGAAATTATCATTTGATCAATTATATTTAGTCGATCACCACAGAATCATCAAAGTACCACCCCTATGTTTACACAACACTGAACCCAGCTGCTAAATGAGGTCTGCAGTTTTTTAGATGTTAGATGAGCCGCTCTTAAAGTCAGTTTGGGAGTTCAGCTCCTCTAGGAGGAGTTAACCTCTGTTCCACTTTTTTCTCCCTCTGAGGATGGCTTTAACTGTGGTTCACTGGAGTCCCGAAGCCTTACTATTGCTAGTTAACTCTTTCTAGACTGATAGATGCTAGTGAGTTCCTTTCTGGTATGTTTACTTTTTTCATTTTTGTAGATTTGATATGATGTGACCTTTTTCTGTAAAGGTCCGATATGATAAAATATTCGCCTGATTACAAAAAATGTAATTTGAGAAGAACATTGGTCTTTTGTTAACCTCTTACACCCTCAGGGGGTATAAATAAATTTCTGCCTGACAAAAACACTCAAAAGTAAATCACTTATAGCCTCAATGCTATTAGATTTAAGAAGAAACTTTTGGTACGTCTGTAAAGGTAAAATGTC